ATCCACAAACTAAAGCACTAATTCACTTGCTGCAATTGGAAGTGGGGTGGGAAGGAATAAAAGTATGTAAAGTTGATAATGCCTAGCTAAAAGACCTGCAAGCAGAGTATTCTCATAGGTTCCGCCCTGGTGCTGGCGCCAACCGGCAAAGTAGGACAACTGCTTAAGTGGGAAGTCTTTCGGAAGTCGCTTGTAGTAGTCTCTGTAAACATCCTTCCAGCTGGTATCACTGCGTCGTTTAGCAGCCAACGAGCTCCAGACAAGCAAGAGAACTAGAATGTTTGCTTTCCCCAATGACATCTAAGAAGGAGGCGCTTGAGCACTGTCGCGATTGCTTACCTTTGGAGAGCCGCAAACTTAAGGAAATGAACTAAACACTGCAAAAGTTGCAATGATATACCTCGGTGGCATTCGAAATCATGCTGCCATGGCGTGGGTTTATGCCGCGAGGGCATGCATGCCACTCTGTCTCACCTTGGTCTAATGAAGTATGTGGTGAATGTTTGACTGTTCCATAGTAAATTTGGACTACCATTGTTTGCATTATCTAGTTAATTGACCTTATGCAAGGGACTAAACAAAATCTCGCCTAATGTTGACCGATTGCGATGCGCCTACTTGACATTAGCCTTCTTGTAGGCCAAGAATGCGTTTTATCACCTTCGTCTTTCTATTCCCTTGATACTCAGTGGCAATGACTATGCATTTTACAAACCACTTTTTCTAAGCTGGAGCAGTTCATGGAATCGAGTTGATCAACCTTTTCTTACCTCGGGTTCTTTTTTACACATTCGCCTCACTAAGTGATAAGAGGTAGTAAAATCAGCACAGCTTACAGCAAATAATATACTTGTACGTTTCAGTGTGCATTCTGCATCGTGATTTCTGAAAAGCAAAAAGTTGAAAAAATGGCTACAGTTTCCTCCTTACCAATGCACTCTCCCATCTTCGGTTCATTTTAAGTGGTATTAGCATCTACACTAACGTGGGTTAGGAAATAATTGTTCGTACCAGATCCTATTTGTATGCATTTTCAAATGAAGTAGAGCTTTTAGGCTATCATGTTGACCTTTTAAATCTGCGAACTCAGCGCAATTGTGAGGATGGAGCAACGTCCTTTCCCCTCTCCTCTTTACCAGCGTTTAGCGTCAAGCAGCAATAATGTAAACGGTGCCGTCAAAAGTCTCCTACCAGCCATGTACTCCAGTCGTCAAATTTCCTCTTAACAACACCGCCAGATGTGGCATTTTGTTCCATTTAAAAATTGTATCGACTGCTATCGTGTCCCTCCAAAGCTAGTCGTGCGAGTTCTAACCTGTATGCAGAGCCAAGTCCTTTCCACCTTTCCATCCTACCTCACTGTTGCGCTATCCTGCATTAATCCAGATTTAATTTTAGTGGACAATGAGGTTGTAAAGGCGTCGTGAGTCCTGGTGCGGCTTCACTTGACAATGTCTCTTTCGGCGACCACGGAAATGACGTAATTGCTAGAGATAAATGCTAATGCTTGACATCCTGTTTAGATGTCATCAGGGATTTATTCACTCATCATAGATGCATTTCGCTCACCTCTCTAAGATTTGTTATCTAGGCGTAGGAGTCAGGACAGTTACCCTTTAAGATTGGATTTACTTTCCGCTGCCACTGTGACAGATGTTTAGCGCTTGTTAAAGTAGGAGACATTGAAGACTGCTAGGCTTTGTAAATTTTGCCTTTTGCCATTTATGTGAAGTCGCATTCCACTTTAATTGATATTGTTGGCGTTGGAAAGGCCTACAAGCACTAAAATATTTGAAACCATGAAGTGGAGCAAGTCGAATCAAAGGTAAATTTAACTTCATACTAACCAAAATCTTTCCCCTTATCGTCTTCCCGGATGGCAAATCCTCTCCTACCTGCTCCTCCCCCGTTTGCAATTGTGGCCCCCGATACAAACAATTTGCGCTCTGATTAAGTGGCAAAGTAACCGAGAGTTCCTATTTGACACCAATGTGGTAACAACATGCTGGCCTTCTCGGATAGAGGAGCACCCCGGCGTGACAGCCATCACTGGGAAATCGATTGCCCTCGTGTCACTCAAGTACTCCTGACGTCCGATCTCTGCACACTTTAAACTTCGTCTATCAATAGGATTTGCCATGTTTTTTTCTTTAATGGTGTTCCCCTGTATCTGGGGTTTTATGTTTGGTGGCTCGTGTGATCCACTCCAACCCAAAGTCCCATCAGGCAAGTTTTAATGCCTATCATTTAATCCAAAGTCTCACTTCTCATTCCCTTTTTTAAATGTTTCTTTTAGAATCTATGTTGTGCATAAAAGGCAACAAACAAAAGTCGTTAAGTAAATTTAAAAAAAAAAAATTTGTCCGCCTTTTTCTGGCTGATACATTTGCTTATCTGATGAGCACAAATTGGCATTAATCGAATTTTCTTTTGGGAAATAATGAAGTTAATTCGCCTTGACCGTCGCTCTAGCATTTTCCTGTGCCATTTTCCCTCTCACAAAAGTAATCGGAACGACCTGGTGCAGGTGGATCGAGGAGAGTACGCAAATGCAAATGTGCAGCAATTTGAGGCATTTTTGAAAGGTGATGGGGCACTACATAAGGCGGAGTTTGTGGCACTATTGTGACCCACCGACTGTACAGCGAAGCGAATGTGTGACAACGACTTTCTATTCCTTGTAGGCA